GTAAGTAGGATTTCTATCAAGTTTTCTCCTTTTTTATTTTTGATCCGTTTGTAACGTGTAACTGACTTACCTCACATCTTATTTTAAATATGTGCATTGTGAATACTTTTTCCATCATAATATATAATTTAGTTATTAGGTTCCTGCCTTTGTCTAGTCTAAGAACCACATATATTCCTGAGGAGATTCATTTAATTCTATATCTTATATGCATTCCGCTAAATTTAAGTTCTGGGTGTTCTTCATAAGTTACTCGGGTAATTACCTACTAAATTTTGAATTGAATGTTTAACCAGGTTTGGTTTGGTGGCAGTGCACTTTAGATTAGAAGTGGGTGGTGTGTAAGTGGGACCTTAAATCACTATTTCCCTGTCTAGTAAATACAGATAGTAATTTTTCAACCCTCTTACCACCAAAATAAGTCACGTGCGCGCTTGGAGTAATGTGCATTCATGACACTATAAGCTTGAATGATGATTTGTCTGGAAAAAAATGTCCTGGATCAGGTAAAAGGTTGAAACCACCTTGGGAAGGAAGGAGGCTTTAAGCCTTAATACCACCATGCACTTGTGTTAGACCGGAAAGGGTTCTTTACAGTACAAAGCTGCCAGCTCAGAGGCATGCTTTGCAGAGGTGATGGTGAAAACAACCTTATGAGTGAGCATAAAAAGCGGAATATACCTGATTGAAAGGGCCATTTTTGAAGTGTGGAGACAATCAAATTCAAACAGGTTGGCACACAGAGAACGCAACAAGAGAAACACCCTGTACAAAGGTTTTAATACAAAAATTAGTGTATAATGGATCTGACCCGTAAGAGTACTTAGGGCAAACTGTTGATCCAGGCCTGGTTGTAAAACAGTCAGGAATTATCACACAGTGTATATTCGGGGATGGAGTTTTATTTCCTCACACCAAGCGAAGTATGGCTTTAATGTGCGATGGTAGATCTTGCAGGAAGTAGACTATTTCGCTTTTCTCATTGTTGGAATCACCAAGTCATTGAGGCCCCTGTCCCTTAAGACCTAGGCTCCAACAGCCATGCCAGTCAAGCTAGTGACCGTGAAACAGGATGAGAAATTAGTTCTTGGGAAAAACAGACCTGGACCATTTGGAAAAGCCCATGGAGTGTCTGCCAGGAGTCTGATCGGGTTGGAATATCACATCCATCTGAGCCAGTCCGGAGCAATGAGTATTGCCGGAATGCCCTCCATTTTGATCCTGCAGAGCAGATGAGAAAAAGGAAAGAAGAGAAGGAAAGGTGTTGATCAGGTTGAACCAATCCCACAGAGCCACCAGAGCATTAACTACTTCCCCTGGAGGACCAGATGATCACTATATCTAAAGATAAACCTATTTTGTTGTTAAATCTGGAGGCCAGGAGGTCCCCATCCAGTATCCATCACCTCTGACATAGGTTCTGGAACATTTCTGGGTGTTGGCACCATCCCCCATATCCAGGTGCTGCCTGTTAAAGTAGCCTGCCTTCAAATTATCCACATCTGGGATGTGAACGGCAGACAAGGCTGAAATTTTAAGTTCAGGATTTCAGAGCCATCAGGCCAGAGACGAGGTCAAAGATGAGGTGTATTGCTGGTTTTGGTTTTAAAACTGTGAAAAAGTTGAAATGAAATCCCAGAAACCTATCTAAAACCGGAAGTTAGGCCATAAACCTTTGCTCTAGAGCAGCCGTAAGGCCTGCATGGAGGTCTGCTAATCTGAGCAATAACACAGGAACTGTTCCCTCCTGGTAGACATAACTTTACCTTCTTTACTTGGTGGACATAACTTCCACAATATTCATTCTATGCTTTCATCCTCTAGGATTAAGACCTTTCACTACTTTTGAAAAAACCCATAACATCCCTCTTCCAGAGCATTTTCAATATATTCAGCTCCAACATTTCCTCTCATTCAAGCACATTCCCATCCCTATATATTTACCCCTTTTGAATCTAAATGTTGTGCCGATCCTTATACTCATGGTATGATATCTTTGCTTTATTCCTCTTTATCATCTGCTAAGTCTACCCCCACTCAACTATACCAGCTGCATTGGGAACAGGATTTAAACCTTTTTATGACCATTGAGGACTGGCAAGATATATGGCTGGCAACTGAGAGGTGTATGTAATGTATTGATTTTGGAAAATTCATAAACATTTTGTACTGGTGGTACTATACCCCTGCACGCCTTGCAAATTTTCTTCCGAACTATCTGAATGCATGTTTTCATGGGTGCTTCCACCCTGGCACAATACTTCACATATGGGGGACCTGTCCAATATCATCTAGACTTTGGGTTTGAGTTGATCATCTTATTCATACATTATTGCATACAAATATGCGTAAAAACCCAGTGGAAGCCCTCCTTAATAGACCTATCCTCAGCTTCTCCTGATCAAAGCAAACATTAGATTAACTATTGCCAAAACATGGCTAACTCCAACTATTCATTTTGAAGCCATTAAGTATAGGCTATCTGGTATAATGATTAATGAAAAGCTCACTGCAATACTGGCCGATACCCATGCAAAATCCCTGGCAATCTGGTAGTCTAGGATCCCTTATGCTCACTCAGATTTGAACCTTCATTATTGGATCTTTGACTGTTCCTGCCTAAGCCTCCCAAGATTCTGCTTTCTTTCCTCCTTCTCCCTTTCTTCTTCTCTTCTATCTCTTTTCCATATTTCTTCCTTTCTTTCCTTCCCCTATATTTCTTTTTCTATTTTACTCTGCTTCTCCCTTTGCCTCTTCCTCACAATGGGACTTCTATTGTTACCCAATGCTACAACTGTATAGCTTACTTGAATGGGACCTTACACCCCTACATATGGTCGCTTCCTGGATATATCCCAAACAATCTTTATGGTCCTATATGAATAGTTGCAATTGATAACTTTTGATAGATTTGTATGCCATGATGTGGCTTGTCCTTTGTTACTGGTTATATATTTATACTGTTTATAGCTGTACGTATTTTGACATACTGTGTTAATGTGCAGTGTATTTCTTGTTTGTCTTATAATAGAATCTTTGTGAAAGAAAAATAGGCTTAGGTTTTGCCTTAGAGGCTGAAGCTTGGCAGTAGTAAAAGGAACTCTCTTTTTTTGCCTCAGACAAGGGGTGATTCTTTTCAGCTCAAGACCAAGGCTTCTTTTACTGGGGTAGAAGAGCACACTTACCTCCAGTATCATCCTTAATGAGGGTTTTCAAGTCAGCTTCAAAGAAACATCCCCCTTAAAAGGGCACAAACAGCAAATACTTTTTAAATGCCTGCTCTGCAGATCAACAACCGCAGAGTTCTCCAAATGTTCACTGATACAAAAAATAACACATTAGTCTGGGGTAAATCTGGATCCCTTACCGTGAGTTTTGTCCATTCTCCTAAGGTCTTGGAGAGTAACTCCAGGAATGGGACACTACCAGATCTAATGCAGTAACAGTCCACTTTTTTACTAAAGGCCTCCTCAAAATGTTTGGGAGGTATAAACAATTTATCAGAGGTTTTCCAGTTAGTATACGGGATATCTGTAAAAAGCATGCACATGGAAAATGTTTTAGTGGTCTTAGGGCCTTTCAAGGACTCAAGACTGGTAGCAGTGCTAGTAGAAGCTACAGGCTGAATCTCCACAAGTTGGCACGCACCACATGAATAAGAGCTGAATTGGTCTCTCTAAGCCTGGGAGATATGGCAGTTGCCTGCAACTGCTCAGGTACAAATTAATCTGGTAAGGATATGTGAGACTGTTCATCTAATAGAGCATCCGTAACTGAAGGTTTAGAGGCAACTAAGGCTGCAGGCAGATCAGATAATGATTCTGCAGGGGTGCAGAAGTACATTTATGTCCTCTGCAGTTAGAGTCTGCAATTAACACTGCAATTTGGCCCATAAAATCCTGAATAACTGTTGTGAAATCCTCCAGGGTGAAATCCAAGGAGGGGGCCACACCCGATGGAGCCAAGGAGGAATCTGAGGAGCATGGGGACATTGGATAATGTTCCAGGCTGACAGGTCCTCGAAAGGGAAAACTGCAAGCTGCCCCTGAACTGTTAGTTGAACGGTTAGTGGATCTTGAGCCAGAGAGGAATGTTTCCCTAAGCTATAAATTCAGAGGCCTGTGAAGACATCACTAAGCCTAAGTTTAGCTGGGTGGCCACATTGAGAACTTAATGTGTAATGCCAAATTTGAATACTTTTTTGGAGAACAAATATATTACTCTGCATTTTCTATATTTTGCTTCACTTATCTCTGATACATTTCTCTGCTTGTCCTCTTTTACCTGTTAGACCAGATTCACACCACAACACCCAGTAACACTGTGCCATTCATTTTGAATGGCACCCCAACTCATATCCCTAACACATAGGCCTGAGTTTTATTGACCAACAAAGCACAGATGTCAACCGCCGGTACAGTGTGATTCACTGAAAAAAAGGTGCAAGAGCATAAAAGATACGAATTGAATGGGCTGCCTTATAACAAATGCAAATTAACTTAATCTAGCTAAAGTTGTGGCTATCTGAGTTGTAAACTCAATTTTCCAGAATTATTATCATCCTGTTGTTATTCTGTTTGAACAATAGCAAACACGCATGTTTTGCCATATGAGAATATATAGCAATAACCTAAAGTATAATGAAACTGAGGGAAAGGGGAACAATAAGTATAGGAAAGAATGAGTATATAATTATGTTTTTTTAACACTAGTTTGACCATCCTACTGTCCTGACCATTTACAAGCCATATCACAAGATCAGGGTACCATGAACGGAATGGCACAAACGGGCTTTTATCCAATATTATTTTTCAGGGGGTAAGAGTCTAATCCAGAATACTGTAAGCTTCAACACCTAACATATTCCACATCTGTATACCCATCTGCTATACCATGAAATCTTTCAGTACAATTAGAACATATACAGTATATACAAGCAGTCTTTCATGATTTCACCTTGAGCAGCCACATTTTAAACTATCCAAGAGATAATAACATACCTTGTCGTTAGAATTTCAAGGATATATTTTCGGTATTGGACTCTAAGTTTGTTTGTCTTGAATCTTGGATCACTAATAAGTTCAGGTAAATTCAAGATCTGCAAAAAATATATATAGACATTTTCAATACATATTAACTATATAGGTAACATTTTAATAACACTCATTTTAAATCATAAATACATTTCTATAAAGGTCCATTTAAAATGATACAAAAGGAAGTTGCAGACTTGCAGCTTTACAGTTCTTCTACCATTTGTTATGTCATTTTAAGTCTGTAATGTAGGCTTTCATTTCATAACAATACAAAGCCAATGTAGTTTTCCTGAGATTTAAGAAAAACTAATAATTAATGAGCTTTGTATAGCATTTAGGCTCCCTCTTGATTTTTATGTGCACACTAATCCCATAAACTCTGACTAGTAACGTTACCTGATACCCCGCTACTACCTTTTACTCTATAGATACTGCAGCAAAAGGTATACATGACTTAAGGTGTAGCTGTCACCTCATTGACTCTCTGTCAAGACTATGCAGTGACATTTTCTGATTGATATTATGAACTTCAAAATGTGGGTCTACGGAGCAGCACAGAACCCCCAAAATCCAGCTGTTTGCATTATGCAGATTTTACATTTTTGAAAATCTGGGGCTGAGAAAATCACTCATATTATACTCCCACTAATAAAATGTGGGGTCTCGATAACCTACTCAGAGGAGTCTTGCATAGTATTGTGAGATACGCTGATGGCATTCCAAGGGCTACCATTGCTAAACCAGAACATGGCATTCTGTAAGCACACTCAGATTTCAGAGTCTCTCAAAGTGTCCTGTCACAATCAGTTGTCATATTATTGTTACCTAATGGTGCCTATCCTTTATTTTAAATATTAGTTGTAAGGGTGAGCCTTTTTTTAAAGCTACACACACCTTTACAGCAAAGTCATAATCAGAGGAAATTAAGATAAAGTGGAACTCAGGGGCAAACACCTATATATATATATATATATATATTCTTATTCATTTTTAC